TATTTCAATTATTATAATGTATAATTTTTATAGTTTTAAAATATTAATTTATTAATAATACTATTTTAAGTCAACTCGAATCAAGTCGAGATTGAGTCGAGTTTAAATCAAATCGAGTTAAATATTTAACTTGACTCGAATTTGATTTGACTCGCAAATCATCGAGTCAAAAAAATATAAACTCAACTTGATTTAAACTCAACTTGGCTTATCTGACTCGTAAGTTAACTCAACTCGTCTGAAACTCTAGTCAAGCTAACAATACTCTACCAAGTTATATTTAAATAGGCGATACTATTTGTATGAACTATTATAATAGAATTGTGATAAACATTTTGTTTAAATTTCAATAGCATGCTCAAGCTAGTATAAATTATGGGTATGAGGAGACCAATAAGAATAATGAGGCTGAACAAGAGCATGAAGAAATTGATAAGACTAATGAGGTTGAACAGGAATATGAGAAGACCGATAAGACTAATAAAGCTAAAATATTATTCTTTTTTCAAGCGATAGTAATAATAATAAATATCTTATATAAGCGTAAAAATAGAGAAAAGAAACTACTTTTATATTTATTTGATGAGTTTAAAATAATCATGGAAGGGAAGAATGCTAGATTGAAATCTTTTTTTGATGAGTTATATCTTTCCTTCAACCCATCTTCAAAAAATAAAGAATCACAGGTGCAGATGAAAAGGCAGCTTTTATTTATTTGCTATTTTCTTTGCGGAATCTGTAATAAATTTGTAAACGATACAAAGAGAGATTTAGCAATGTATCTAGATTTAACTGGTACTTCTAATACTTCTATAGATACTTTTGCTGATTTAGATATAACTATGATATCTCATACAATCATACGATATAAAAATACTATATCTAAAGAATATACTAAGACTATCGATTCAGCACTTGCTAAGTATGCAGAGTGTACAATAATATTAAGTATTGATGATTACCATAGTATTTATATGAAACTGATGCCAAATATGACTATCATATCTATCACTGCATATTTAGCAATAATCTTAATGAATTCAATTACAACACAAAGTGCAATTCTGAAAATAAATATACATAATCCTACATTTATTAATACTGAATTAATTAAAATAAATGTGAAAAATAAGTTTATGTTACCTTATAGTCTTTCACATAATCAATGATAGGATTTCGCTTAATTAATGATGATACAAGATTAAAAAAAGCTGACTGTACACAGTTATGACATTAGGTTAAAGAAAAAATGTAATACTTGTTCAATAAAGAATGTAATTCATATAGATTTACAGGAAAACAACCTTCATTCCTTAGATGTGTATCTTAAAGCTATTAATATTATTATTATTATTTTATCTATATTATAGTATATTCAGAAAGGATATGTTATCCTCATCGTCACTGATTGGCCTTGATAAATCTATATTAAAATAGCAATTTTACATTATCTATCTTATCATAATTTATCACATATCAATGATACTATTTTTTTTCTCTCAATTATAAGTCTTTTACATATTTTACTGAATAGTCATAAATTAATCTTCCTTTAATATCAGCCTTTTTTGTAGCTATATATAAGTTTATTTTCAGAAAATGGAAGCTATTAGCAAAAAAACCTAAGCTATGACATATTGATCTTCTTTTAGATATTTCTCATAATGCTTAGCAGAACAAATATGCTAAATATCTTACACTCAAGGACCTTTTTAATAATATGATTCCTCTTGTCTTAGATATATATGTTATATTTTTTCAATCTGAGAATTTTAATGCTTACTTAGAATCTTATTTTCATGTTTAGACATTATTTTTAAATTTAATTGCAGAAATTATACTAAAACACCATTGATGTTTCTCTCTGATATTTTTTACTAGAAACTGAATGATCATCCAATTTTAGAAACTCTTAAGGCTGAACTTCTAAAATTTTTAAATTCAACTGTGAAAATATTTCACAGTTTTCTACGTAAAAATATGCAGAAACATACAGATACATAGCAAATTATTAAATATAAATATTATATCAATCAATTGCATTTAGATAATAACAGATTTAGAAAAAATTTTGCATATATATCTACATGGGCAGTTTATGAATATTCTACACAGAACATTATAGGTTTAACAAAAAAGATAGCTTGTTTTCTTTTACAATGCTTTTCAGAAATTTATACATGTATATTTAATCATAATTCACTAATAATATTTTCATTATAGACTGTTATAACTTTATCTTCAAAGAAAAAAGGTAAAAAAAAAAGCTAATGATATTGTTATTTCATTAACTGCAATAAAAATGCCAGAAGCACAATTATGTTACCTTCCTTTGGGTTTTAGTATTTTATATAAATCAGATCTAATTTATTATTATAATGCATCTAATTGTCTTAATTTTTTATTCATTAACATAGATCTAATTAAAATTCTAGCCTGCAATCATACATATCATATTTCTTGTTATAGTAATAATAGATCAAAATGCTTGTATTGCTTATTATTCTTACAAAATAATATTGATAAATATATCAGATCTTATTAGAATGTTTGCAACGATTCAATGAATAACAAGTATAGGTTAAAAAGCTGAAAGATAATATTCTCTGCAATGATAATGATGAAACTGAACTAGTAGATTATGTAGCCTTTGCATTAGAACAGGCATTACAAAAATTTTAATTACAATAAATATTTTATATTTAATTCATATTTTCTAGTAATAAAAAAACTAATATATAATTATTATATAATATTAATAAATTAAATTGTATCAATTATGTATCAGTTAAGAATATAGTTGGGATCTTTAAACAATTATTAAATAATGCAGTTTATTTTTTCGAAGTTTTAATTTTTCAATAATAATATCACGTGACATGTATAAATATTTATAATATTAATTGTAAAATTTGTGTAATTTAATCAGCCAATCATATGAAAGTCCCCTATAATAACATAATACTATTATGTAGTTTATTATGTATTATGATTAATCATTACATCATATAAAGGATATAATAATAAACGAATAAATTGTCTAATTATTTTTCACTTTTTTTCATACGTTAGCACTGTAAGATAAGGTTTAAAAAGAGTTATAAAGAAAATTTAAAGGAGGCTGGTAACTATATTATAAGTTTATGTTACTTGATATACATACGTCTTTATTAATACTACTTTGTTTTGAAGAATACTGGTTAGAAGTTTCTAAAAAAAACCAACTAAGCTTACTTGACTTTTTATGTAATAGTAAAGAAACAGTTGATATTTTTGATAAAAACTACGAAGTTTCTCAATATATAGAAGACTTAAAATGTATCAAAATACATTACAATTATGATAGCAAATATATTTATGATGTAATTCAAAATACTGAAAATAATATAAAGTATGTGCCAAAACTTATAAGAATTGGTGAGAGTATATTGACTAAAAGGCTATGCTAACTAGTACAATTCTATATATAAGCGTATGTGTATAGGAAAGGCTATGCTGACTAGTGCAATTTTACATGTAAGTGTATGTAGAAAAGTCTACGCTGACTAATGCAATTCTATATGTAAACGTATGTGTACAGAAAAGGCTACGCTGACTAGTACAATTCTACGTGTAAGCGTATATGCACAGAAAAGGCTATGCTGACTAGTGCAATTCTACGTGTAAGCGTATGTGCACAGAAAAGGCTACGCTGACTAGTGCAATTCTACATGTAAGTGTATGTGTACAGAAAAGGCTACGCTGATTAGTGCAATGAGTTTTTTGACATTTGAGGTCTATCTATTCTGGAGGAGAAATAGATTATGAACTTTTCTCAAAAAAGTCAAAAAAACTGATCTAGCATTGAATCAAACAACTTTTTTTAGGATGAAGAAACATCAGCTGAGGTAATGGAATTTTTGCTCCCTCAAGGTTCTTCCAATTCAAATGAAAATGAAGGTGAAGGTAGAAACTGCAACAATGGTTCTTCCAATTTAAATGAAAATGAAGAGGAAGGTAGCGACTGCAACAATGGCTCTCCCAATTCAAGTGAAAATGAAGGGGAAGGTAGCAAGGTTTGTAACACATCATTAATAATGATTAAGAAAATATTGATTCATTTGTGTTCTTTATAGGCACTTGTATATGATATTCTTAAGAATATTATTTCAGCATCTCAAGCTGAAAAGAATATACTCTTCGAAATTCAGCCATTCCTCAATTATGGATCTTCATTTAGGATCAGAGTTCTCAATTTCATTAGACCAGAATTTGCAGGATCGAGTTCTACATGAAGTCTTTGACGAGATAGACGATTATATTACGGATGAAATTCATAATTATCTTACGGACTTCTT